GAGCACCAAGGATCCCTCATTTCAACCCAGAGCTTACAAATATTCTACTTCCCTGATTCTATGCCTCTGTTTATGTAACCAAAGACTGCATTAGATTTTTTGGTGACTGCTGCACACGGTTGGCTCATATTTAAGTGATTTTCCACTAGGATTCTAAGATCCCACTCACAGTTAACTGCTTTTGAGCCAGATTTCACCTAATCTGTATTTGTACGTTTGATTTTTCCTGCCTTATGTGTAAAACGTTACTTTTCTCTACATTAAATTCCAGTCTACTCCCCTAGTATTACTGTAGGGGAGTAGACTGATCAATTATTCTTTTATCACTTTTTTCCCTGTGAGTAAGCCAGACTGTTTTCAATGCTGAAGAAAAACCATTCTTCAAACATTTAAAACTTTGCTGGTGAAATCTGCATAAATTCTCAATTTTTCTTCTATAAAACACTTAAGCTATTCCATAAACCGATTCCAAGATAAGTGCTATTGTCATGGTTTATATCTTCAATATTTGCTTGTCCAACAAGTACCCTATTAATGAATGAAAAAAGAAGTTGGCATTCTCTCTTCAGATGCCCAATCTGCAATTTAGAAAAAAATAATTCCTAACAGACTTTTGGATGACAGTTCAACATACAAATATGAACTTTCAGATGTAAAGATGGGGAAGGTCCTTTTAGCCTTCATTACAATCAAAATCAGCGGGCTGAATGTAAAGGTGATTTTAAGAGTATCTTTGAAATTTTATTCTGGGCATTGATGAAACGGATACATTTGATTAAGATAAGAGACAAAACAAACATTGCTTGGTGTTCGATGATACTAAATTTTAAGAAGACACTGTTAAAGAAAAACAATTAATTCAGTCTAATCTGATTTGTAAATAATGGCTACAACAGATGTCCACCCTACCAAACAATTCAAAACATACAAACACTATTAATAGGATTAATAGATAAATAAATGGATTAATAGGTACCATTTATCAGTGGGAAGGTTACGCCTTTGGCATATAGCCATGCTGGTCACATGACTATGGAAAATGTCTTCGGACAGCACCGACTCCCTCGGCTAAGAAACAGAGCACCAGGTCCTAGTCAGACACAATTGCAGAGGGAAACCTACACAGATGGTCAACTCTTTCAGTGAGAAACAGATTCAAAATGACACAAGTCACGAGTTAAATTTAGTCTACGATCCTTATTCTAGTAAATTGATAATTCGAACTAAATGAGCATAACATACTTATCCCTAAGTTTTTTTAAGCCTCTGGCACTTTCCTTATAGTAATACACGTTCACTTCTGTACTGTTCCCTCATGCCCAATATTTTAATTATTCTAAGCCACACTGTTTATAAGATTATCAAATGAAAATAATCAAATATATTTGCAGTGGAAGTACAGGGAAAATCCTCTATGCAGCTAGCAGTCTCATAGGTCAGAGGTGGGTATTTGGGTTTTGGAGAACTTGCCACACAAATAGTACACGGATGGTATAGGCTGATAGGCAAGAACACACACAAAAAGTGGGGGGGGGGCAAACAAACAAATTGAGAATTAATTTATCCAATACACTAGACTTAATATAATTATGTCCCATGTATTCAATAGTTTTCTGTTTTTATCTCCCCCACCCCCAAAAAACCCCCCATTCACAACTTTTGAATAATTTCTGCCGCTGAATGAAGCTGTAATTCAAACTCTAGATTGTAGTATAGCTCACCTCAGGCCCATGTTTATACCTCAGTGAAAAATAGCCCTGTATAGAATACCCAATATTGACTAGGTTGGAAACTTAATGGCATATT